AGCCTCCTATCTAACATAGTGGCCAGCCAGTTCCTCCGGAGGGCCAACAACAGAGCACAGAGTGACCAAAGTAAGGATTCCAGTCTCCAGGAGGGATCTGGCGGCAGTGTTCCCTCTAAGCTGAGTTAGTGTGAGCTAGCTCGCAGTCTTTTAGCCTCTGGCTTACACATTTTTGTCTTCGCTCAGGAAAAAACGGCTCCAGAGCAGACTAATTTTATGCAGTCGCCTAATTGCTTCCTCACAGCTTTAATGCCAGTAACTCACACAAAGTAGAAGTTTTACTCAGAAGACTCTACAGTTTAGAGGGAGCACTGCTTATCTTCAGTGTTCCCTCTAAGCTGAGTTAGTGTGAGCTACCTCACAGTCTTTTAGCCTCCGGCTCACGCATCTTTGTCTTCGCCCAGGAAGGACAGCTCCAGAGCGAAGTAATTTATGCAGTCACCAAATTGCTGGCTCACAGCTTTAATGCCAGTAACTCACACAAAGTAGAATTTTTGCTCACAAGACTCCACAGCTTAGAGGGAACATTGGATAGTCCAGTGTTCCCTCTAAGCTGAGTTAGTGTGAGCTACCTCACAGTCTTTTAGCCTCTGGCTCACGCATCTTTGTCTTTGCCCAGGAAGGACGGCTCCAGAGCAAACTAATTTATGCAGTCACTCACAGCTTTAATGCCAGTAACTCACAAAGTAGAATTTTTGCTCACAGGACTCCACAGCTTAGAGGGAACATTGCCTGGCGGGCACAGAGGCCGAGGCCTTCCCCTGAAAAGAACATCAGAAGAAAAGGGGAGAATGTTGTAAGTCACTCCAGGTCCCCTTTGGAGAGAAAACCAGGGTGCAACAGAAGTAAATAAGTGAAATGAATAATACAAAGTCTGGTGCAGTGAGGGGCATCCTAGGCAATAGAAGGAAGCGCTCTGTGAGCAAGCAGAAATAGGGCTGAGGTTGCCAACTCCAGGATGAAAAAGTCCTAGTGATTTGGGGTTGGAGCCTGGGGAAGATGGAATTTGGTAATAATATATGTTCATAATCAACATGGAGCTGCGGTGGCTCAAGTGGTTAAGACGCTGAACTGCAGGCTGTGGAAGGTCAGTAGTTCAGCAGTTCGAGACCCAAGTTGCCGCATGACGGAGTGAGCTCCCGTCTCTAGTTCCAGCTCCTGCCAATCTAGCAGTTCAAAAGCAAGAAATTGCAAGTAGATAAATAGGTACCACTTTGGTGGGAAGGTAACAGCGTTCTGTGCGCCTTGGCATTTAGTCATGCTGGCCACATGACCACAGAAACGTCTTCGGACAGCGCTGGCTCTTCGGCTTTGAAACGGAGATGAGCACCGCAACCCTAGAGTCGGATTCGACTGGCTTTCGAGCAATGGAAACCTTTACCTTTACCTTTATAATCAACATGTTATTAGATATGAAGATAGATGGAGAAGACAGATTTAAACAGAAGTGATATATTCAGTGTAAATTTAAGTGCGTTCCATATGAATATATGACTTTGAATATAAATAATTACATAGTTGACAGTTTATATTTGTTTGTAAATTGAAATTTAAAAAAACACGAAATATAAAAAAACATTGAGTGAGTAAACGTGTGCTCGAGTCATGCAGTAGAAATGAGATTCCTAGACATCATAAATGACTGTGTGCTGGAACATATCAGCCGTGTTTGTCTTGTAGCAGCAGAGAAGAAGAAGAGATTGGGTTTATACCCTGCCCTTCACTACCCGAAGGAGTCTCAGAGTGGCTTACAAACTCCTTTCCCTTCCCCTCCCCACAACAGACACCCTGTGAGGTAGGTGGAGCTGAGAGAGCTCTGACAGAAACTGCTCTTTTTCAAGGACAGCTCTTATCAGAACTACGGCTGGCCCAAGGTCATCCAGCAGCTGCGAGTGGAGGCGTGGGGAATCAAACCCGGTTCTCCCAGATTAGAGTCTGCTCACTTAACCACACCACCAAACTGGCTCTCGAAAGAGGCACCTCACAGGCTAACAACACTTGTGGCAGGGTATGAGCTTTCGTGAGTCACTGCTCATTCTTCATGCGCACTGGAACAGTTATTCGCAGAGCCAACTAGAGGGGCGGTGATCGTGGTTCTGAGCAGGGTCTGCTGAGAGATGTAGAGGTTTGTTACACCAGCTGGAGAACAGTGACCACCATACTATTACATTCATCATTCAAGTCAATGGACAGTTACCCCTAAAGTCCAAAACGGTAACATTTCATTTCAAAAGAGGGAACTTTACAAAAATGAGGGGAATGGCAAAAAGGAAGCTAAAGGGGAAACGCAAGAGAGCCCAATCCCTAGCGGATGCATGGAAGATATTTAAAATCACACTAATTTAAGCCCAAATGGAATGCATTCCACAGGTTAGGAAAGTCCCTGCCTGTGTGAACCGGGAATCACACTCTCGGTCCTTCTGCCAAAGCCTGGTAGGGCTCAGGGTCACGAGCTGGCAAAGAGCAACTTGTTTCTCTTTATCAGCTCCTCCAGCACCTTTCGCTTGAAAAGCTCACCTCTCCAGTCTCCGGTTCGCCACTGGGAAAAGGGAGGGAGGCACCCATTAACAACGCTGCTCCGCAGTTCAGGTCTTGAAAGGTTCAACAGAATTTATTGAAGAGGATTGCAAAAGAAAAGTTACTAATCACTGCACCATAGCAGTGAGTATCAGGGGTCATTCCCTGCAGGAGCGCACAGGAGCGGAGCTCCGGCAATAAAGAGCCCAGGAGGCTGGCACATGCAACAAGCCCCGCCCCCTGCTCCCAGCAGCCCCGGGCCACGAGGAGCAAGAAGCAGCCAGGTAAGTTGCAGTGTGGGTGTTGCCTTCTGACACACTTCCGGTGATGTCAGGGGGTGTGGCATATGCAAATAAGTTATGCGAACGAGTTCTGCTAATGAGCTCCTTCACTTGTTTTTCTACGAAATGACCCCTGGTGAGTATCAAACATACCGACTTTCACAGAGTTTCATGCTCCCTCGCCCCCCATAGCCTCGAAAATAAGTTAAGTTTCTCTAAAGAAAGACATCCGATACTAAACTGTCTGCCCCTCCACTCAAGGCCAAGTAGCTAATTATTGTTTGCAGCTGTGGAGTTCTTAAAGAAAAAGGAAAAAACTCCCAGGTCTTCTGCTGAAACAATTCACGGGGGTGGAGCTGAAACCATTTAGAGTGTCTATTTCAAATTAACCATCTAAAAGTGAAAGGAGAAGCATGTGCTGCTTCCATACACTGCCATGTCTAGAAGTAAATCCAAACAAGAAGAGAAAAAGACTAGTGTCACAGGAGTCCCAAATATACAAATTCCACTAGTAGAAAACACCATCAAAGATTGCCAAAATAGTATATTAAATAATCATAAGGTTGGTGGTGTCACAACAGCAACATTAATGTATACTGTAACTATAATAATGCATAAGATGCAATATTTGAAGACGTAAAGTCCATGTAGTCAGTGTAACTTGATAGGAGGAGTCCACATAGTCATAACATTTTCCAAACAGCCTTTGCAAAGGCGCCCGTTCTAGATACTTGGAAGATGCATTTCCTTTGACTTCTTCAGTTTGTCGGCTGTGTGAGTGGAACCTGATTTC